GTAGAAATTTAATCAATGTAAATATCTTCTGCAGCGTTGCAATCGCAATATAAAGAATTATATATCTTTATATATGCACATCAAATTACAGAGACATAAATTACAATTATACAAAAAAAAAAAAAAAACATAAAGAAGAGGATATTTATTTTCTGTAATTTTGTTGACGTTAAAAATATGATTTCAGCCTTTAAATAGTTCTATTACATCAAAATTTGGAGAAAATTGTGATTAAAATTGCAAGAAAATAATATTTTAATGTATTTTTTTTACACGTCATATAAATAATAAAATACATGGAGCAATTTGGAAGCCGGAGTTTAGCGCTCAATAAAAACACGGTAAATATTATTTCTTTCTCGTAATAAAAAAAATTATTTTTTTGTTGAACTGTATTATTAATATCGATTTACTTTTATATGGATTCGATCAAAATTAAACAAAACAGCGAATCTACTATGGATATGCATAAAACACATCTTTTTAGATGAAGTTTGCGAACACGGACTTGCTGGGAATAGTTGAGAGAAAGCAATAGCGAGAAAGATTTTTCTTTTTTCAGTTATGCTACAATCCGCTTGCTTATTACATTATTTTGTTTGTGTTAAATAATTAAGAAATTTGCATTTATTTCTCTTTACGACACATCTGCATTGCAAGGAAATTTTGCATCGATATAAAGAGAGAACTTTCATTTGAGAATGCACAACGTAGAGAAATAAAAAGAGAGTAAAAGAAGAAAATCGATCATATATCGGGACTGCATTTTGTAAAAGAAAGATAGTCATTTAGAAATTGTACAAACGAAGAAAGCTGCATAATATCATCTAATAAAATAATAAAATAAGATATCTATAGAGGTGGATCCGTGCAAAAGTAGATTTAGACCCCCAAGTATTTTATTTTATATGCACATGAGATGAAGAAAGCTGCATAATTTCATCTCTAATAAAATAATAAAATAAGATATCTATAGAGGTGGATCCGTGCAAAAGTAGATTTAGACCCCTAAGTATTTTATTTTATATGCACATGAGATCGCGGGATACGTGCGCACGAAGAGAGTCTCGTCCGGATACCGCTGGTTGAAAACTACAAAAGCGGACGATGGAAACTTTAATGAAGGGCTCGGCTACTCTATGGCGCGGAAACGAATGCGCACTGAAGGGAGGGAGGAAAAAAGCACGAATTCGTGTCTGCCGTTGAAACTTCCACTTCTCTTTGCCGGAGGTGAGGACTTTACGAACTTCTGTTCGTGGTATCGCAACAATGGACTGGTGGCGCGACGGTATATTCTCGATTCCGTCTGGGATCGTATAACGAGCTCTGTACATTCCCGTTTTACTCGCGTGGAGAAAGTGTAGCCTCCTCTATGTCTAGAATTCGCTTACAACGTGTACAATCGAAGTGTCTCGAGTGTCTCTCAATTGTCCAATCTTGAGATATCGGAGCTATAGGATAGGAGACAATATTATCGGAAACGTCACGCGGAAAATCCTTCGAAGCCTTTAACCACAAAGTAAATATTCTACGTGCGAAGCATGCAAAAAATATATCTAGGATAAATCTTTAAAATAAATCGTATTCGCGACTGTGTTTTTTTTATTTCCTGTATTATTTAAATTCGAATATATTTTGCACACAGAGAAAGAACAGAGTACAATAGGATGCGATGAGAATTATTAAAAGAGATGAAATCGCTTCTCTTCACGAGGATTCGAGAAATGGGACGGAAGTTAGAGAGATGGCAAGCGCCAGAACGGAGGACAGGACGTACAACACTTCCGTAACAATGCTGATCTTCGCTACGAAATAAAACATGGTAGACGAGTTTCGGGAATGGAACGAGGGTAAAGCGAAGCGCGGATAAAGGGAGGGCATGAAAGGGGAAAAAAGAAGCCACCGTGCTGTTTGGCGAGAAACTAATAAGGCTCCGGGAGGCAAACGCGCCCTGGAAAATGGAAATCGATTTTCTCTCTCTCTCTCTTTCTCCCTCTGTCTCTTGCTTCAGGGCGCTCCTCCCACGCATAGACAATTATCACGATGAGTAAGTTGCATCTCGCACGATTCCCGCTGTCCAGTCTTTGATATCCTAATGTACAACATCATTAATCTACAGACAAATAATGGCGTTGAATTTCTCGGCTACTCAATATTGGACTACGACTTTATAACAGTCGTTAAACTATACGAAATATATTGGATAAGATAAAACATTTTTCACACAGAATTGTGTAAAAAAAAAACGCAAACCTGAAACGTAAAAAAATTAAGTTGAGAGAAGAGTTCATCCTGTTACACGAAAATGTCCGTCGATAAGATGTTAATAATTGAACGATCGGAAGTAGTAGATTCCCATCACGGATACCGTTCGCAGTCGATCGAGGAAAGGAGACGATGCTACTTGTCGATAATCTTCGTACTTTCGTACTTTGGGCAAGTAATCGTTTCTATCGCTCCGGTGCTTTACGAGCTAACGGCTTTATCCGAGGTCATTGGAATCCAAGTTAGGATTAGATGCTGTTATCGACCCAAGAATACCAGTATGTACGTATATACCAACCTGAATCCTCACCTTCATTATCCCTGGCGGCTATATACATATACAACCTGAACAATGTCTTGTAATATCGAAACCTTTCTGTGCTTATTTCTGTACTAAACCTGATCCTTAGAATTAAATTTTTAATCCGATTTTAACTTATCTAATTCTAGTTTTTTGGATACTTTCATTGAATTTTTCAATTTTTTTTCTAAGGATTATAAATATCTCGATGTATTTTTATAAAATAATTTTTCATATTTCATAATGTTATTTAATTAGCTAATTCCTAGATAATAGATTAGATAATCACACGTAATTATGACAGTGTAATTATTAGCAAATTTGTTACGACTACGTCATGAAATAAGTTAAGCGCAAATAAACAACGAATACTCACGAGCAATAACATACCAAAATAGCTCTTCGGACTTTGTGCAAACAATTATACAAGATGTAACTAAAATAAGTGGACAAACTTCGGGGACGAGCTCCCCACATCAAAACATGAAAAAAAGTTCATACCAACATATATTCGCAAGCCCACTGTTACTGAGATACAGCTCAAACAAATGTTTGTTAATGGAAAATGAAAAAATAATATTTATTATTATTTAATATTATTTATTGCTTCCTCATAGAGGAAGCTTTGTTTTAATTTTTAATTACAACAAATGTTCAAAATGTCTCCCATTTGATTCAATAGATGGACACGTCGGATCATGGATTTTTTCAAAACATTCTTTTAAAGATCCCGGGCCGGTTGCGAATGGTTTCACAAGCCGCAAAGATGCGTTAGCGTAGCATATTTTCATTGTCAATTTGAACTTCATAAACTAAAAACTTTAAATGTCCCCACAGATAAAAATCTAGAGGATTGAGGTTAGGGGATCATGGGGGCCATGCAACTAATCCTATTTTACCTATTCATCTGTCGCAGTAATTATGAACATTTTGAGCTATATCTCAATAACAGTGGGTTTATGGACATATATGTTGATATGAATTTTTTTCATATTTTAGTGTGGGGTGTTCGCCCCCGAAGTTTGTCCCCTTATTTTAGTTACACTCTGTATATACTACGTTTACACAAGAATATTCAAGGACATTTATTAAGAATTTATTTATTATTACATATAAAATATTATATTATATTATATTATATTATATATATTATATAATATTATATTATTATTGCATATAAAAATCATACTATCGGCCAAATTTTAATTTTGCTTGTTTCAATGTCCCGCATAAAATTATCAGAAAACGATCATTGATATTCCTTTACAGTCTGACGAAGATCGTAGCTAGCTTTGAACATTAACGAATATTGATTGTTCACGGATTCGTGTGCGCGTCTTTATACTGAAAATTTTAAAAGTAGAATATTTGACCTAATTAAATTCTAATTGATTGCTAATTTCTCACTCTAATTATGAATTTATTGCTTCTATAATAAACAGAAATTTAGTTTGTACACAAGTAATATAAAAAATTATAAATCTTCAAAATATAATGCTAAAATTTTAATAAGAGAATAAAATATTTCATATACAGCATAATTCATGATGATGTAAAGTAAGTCGCAAAGATAAGTGAACAATTAATTTTATAAGTAACAAATAATAAATTAACAAAATTATATTTACTTATTCCGCTGGTATATACTCGATGTTTTCGAGAATCTCCTCCATCTCTGATGTGTGCTCCTTGCTATTCCATCACTCATACTATGGCACTCACACGACACTCATTCGCGAAAATGTTAATTACGATCGTGCGTGCACCATTTACTAAAATACGACGATTGTTCAGTCTTTACATAGCACTCTCGACGTTAATCGTCACACGACATACATGTAATTCTAAATTGCGACGGGAAAACGCAAAATTCACTATTGCACAAAGTTATAATTCACTTAGCACTGAAAAATCAAGTGATCCACTTTACATGATATATCATTTCTGTTACTAACAAATGATTTATGCACGAATTTTTATATAGACATATAAATGAATAGATATACAAGCAAGATTAGAGATAAAATCAGAGATAAATTAGAGATAAATGTCCGCAAAATGTAATATCCAAGAACATGCCATTGTTTTATCGACTCACGAGATTGATCTTGATGGAATAAATTACATAAAATATGCGTTTCAACAGATTAACGATACACAAACGTCGAATTTGTTAAACGTATTTAATATTTCTTAACATTTTTCGCGACCGTATTTCGAAAGCTACGACGACACACTGAGTATTGAGTTTATGTACAATGATCTTGTTATTTACGTAGGTAGACTCTCGAGTGCGAAGGCGTCGCCTACCACTCACGATTGTATATAAATAATTGTATATAAACAATGATCTTGTTGTCATACGTACGAGCGTAACATTCCAGCGAGCACAAGGCGCTCAATACTCAGTGTGTCGTCGTAGCTTTCGAAATACGGTCACGAAAAATGTTAGGAAATATTAAATGCGACAAATAATTTAACAAATTCGACGCTTGTATATCGTTAATCTGTTGAAACGCATATTTTATGTAGTTTATTCCATCGAGATCAATCATGTAAGTCGATAAAACAATGCCATGTTCTTGGATATTACATTTTGAGGACATTTATCTCTAATTTATCTCTGATTTTATCTCTAATTTTGCTTGTGTATCTATTCACTTGTATGTCTATATAAAAATTCGTGCATAGATCATTTGTTAGTAACAGAAATGGCATCATGTAAAGTCGACTACTTGATTTTTCAGTGCTAAGTAAATTATAACTTTGTGCAATAGTGAATTTCGCGTTTTTCCGTCGCAATTTAGAATTACATGTATATCGTGTCCCGATTAACGTCGGGAGTGCTATGTAAAGACTTGAATAATCGTCGTATTCTGGTAAATGGTGCGTGCGCGATCGTAATTAACGTTTTCACGAATGAGTATCGTGTGAGTGTCATGGAATGCCATAGAATAACAAGGTACACACATTAGAAAAGGAGGGTTCGTGAAGACATCGAACAACAGCGGAGTAAGTAATGTATAATATTATTAATTTATTATTTATACAATTTATTGCTCACTTATTTTTGCGACTCATTT